TGAATATGACAGGAAACTCAGGAAGAACTTGGAACTTGAGAGAAATTGCATACCCTGTTTATGACAAGAAGCTCGAAAAACCATACCCTGTTCAGCGGATCATCCCCGTATAGTCCATATATGGGAGTACCCCCCCCCCCACCCCCCGGAGATTTTCTTCATCTTCGCCTACAGTTCATGCTTCTCTCCACACTTCTTTCTTGCTTATGTCACTTCCTGTGTTTTATATTACTGAATAGAGCATGGAAAAACCTGTTTTATTTGATAAGTAAAATGAGAGTTAACAGTAATTTACTAAAGCTCTCTACTGACCCAGATAATCTATGCATTGCATGTCTTACAGGGCTTAAAATAAAGGTCGGTTATTGGACGATTTCAATGAAGTCCAAAGCGTTGTTTTTCTATTCTGTTCAATTTCCTCAATCTTTACTTATTCGTTGAATAATGTAATACAATAATAATAATGTGCTTGATTACAGTCTCAAAGCTTCTAACTTGGCACACGTGCCTTGCTAATCGGCGAGAGATGGGCTAATTGGCGAGCATCAAACTTATATACTTACATTTCTTGCATGATTTGATATAAACACTACCGAATACTCATTGATGTTGTTTGCTCTCTCTTCTCTTATTCGTTCGCATAACTTCCATACATTCTCCTCACTGTACAGAGAAAAAAAGAAAAAAAATTGCGTTTTAAAAAATACTATTCTAATATAACCTGGTTGAAATTTAGGAAAAAATAATGTAATTGGTATATTATTTTTATTAAGATATCATTAAAATTATTAGCCATAATATTTCTTCCCATATGTACAAATATTGTACCCATCTAACATGTGCTTGACATGCTTGAAATATTTGGCTATTAAAAACAAGGTTGAGACCGTATTTCTAGTTTAAAAAGCTTAAAAATTATCTCTATGGCTCTATKGAAGAGGTTTTTATTAAATAAGGATGCTAAAAGCTTTAGTAAAGAGGTTTAAAGTATTTATTTTTTGAGCTTAAAGTTGAAGACCAAAGGAAAAACCCGCAAAATGAAACCAAAACAAAGTAGGAAAAAACCTAACTTAAAATTCGTCAAAACAACATAAAATACAGCTGGAATTTAACTAAAAAGACACAAACACATAAGACAAGACATTATCTYCTAATGATAGGCAAATTCTGGACTAAAATAAATAAAAAACTCGATAAGTTTAAGTCAAAGATCATAAAAACTTCTACGAAGAGTAAAGTTGTTTGCGTCAAAGAACACACGAAAAACACGGGATAAAAATCAACTTTAAATCATCTCTGGACGCTAATTTTTTGAAAATACTTAAAGGAAGGATTAAGGATTAGATTGAAATTATAACCTTACCAATAACAGCTCGTATAAACACAAGTTGAAGGCGAAATTTCTTTTTTTTCGGCCATTATTTTGGCCTGACTGAATGGGTACAGCCACCTTCCTCTCTGATGATGAAACTATTTTACATATTGGCAGCGAGGCTATTAAACATTAACACGAGGCTACAGAACATAGGGTACCCAAGATAAAGAGTTAATAAAATGGTGAGTATCAGAAAGAAAGGAAGGAAGGAAGATAGAAAGAAAGAAAAAAAGAAAGTAACGAAAAAAGAAAGGATGAAAGAAAGAGTAAGCGGAGAGTACAACGATAGGGATAGAAAACAGAGGTTGTATAAGGAGTCTTTGTGAACTGGTCTAAATGAGATAAAAAAGAAAAGAAAAGAAAAAGAAGTAGGAATGAAGAGAGAAAGATTGGAAAGACCAGACTTAGAGAAGTGAACAAAACAAAGTGACATGCGTTTCACGGTGCTGCTAAAATAAGATAAGAAAGAAAAGAAAGAAAGAGAGTCAATAAGAGAGTTAAAACCAATGAAATAGTTTCGCTAAGTCGCGCAAACAACATCATTGCTGAACAAACCGCACATACTTTTGCAAACGATTCAAATTTTCAGAAAAGTGTTATGCCCAACTCATAAGTATTTTTATAGATTCTAGTTGAAGAAAAGCCTTTAAATGTGTTTTAACGAATAAGAAGAGAGTTATTAGAAAGACTTTTTTTTGCAAATTACAATCTGTTTTTTACTTTCTGCAAATTTTCAAGTTGGGTCCCTGTGTCATAATCTAATGTTCCCAACCGCTGGTTTCAATTTATTACGGGCGCCAAGATGGCGGACGAGAAGATAGTTTTCGTAACCGTTGGAACTACAAGTTTTGATCGGCTTATAGAGACAGTTACGAGCCATTCAATATGCCAGGTATAAAGCTTAGATATTAAACCTACGTTCTGGTTTCTCATTTTCATTTTTCCTCGTTCAGGTGTTTTGTAAAAATCTGCTTTGTTTATTAACATGATATATTTATTATTTGTTGAAGATTTTCCAAAGACTCGGATACTCAAAGATGGTCTTACAGATTGGAAGAGGGACATTTGAACCTAAGGTGTACTCAACAAGCCGTTTTACTGTGGAATTTTATCGTTATAAGGATTCTATTGCAGAGGATATTCGTAGAGCTTCATTGGTAATCAGCCATGCAGGTCAGATATATATGTGATCTTCTTGATGAAGATGTTGATAATGATATATGTGATGATGAAGATGATGGTGATGATAATGATGTTGATTCAATGATGTTGTTGATGATATGTGATGATGATGATGGTGTTGATGATGATGATGATGATGATGATGTTGATTCAATGATGTTGTTGATGAAATGTGATGATGGTGATGATGATGATGGTGGTGATGATGATGGTGGTGGTGATGATGTTGATGATGATGAAGTTGTTGATGATATGTGATGATGAAGATGATGGTGATGATAATGATGTTGATTCAATGATGTTGTTGATGATATGTGATGATGATGATGGTGTTGTTGATGATGATCAAGATAATGAGCTTTAGTTATGTAAATATTATTTATTGGGAAACACAGTTTGTGTAACGGTGAGAGCACTTGCCTCTCACCAATGCAATCAGGGTTTGGCCTCCTCCAGACTCAGTGTTGTATATGGATGGAGTTGTTAGTTCTCTCCTGTGCTTTGAAGGTCTTTCTCTGGTTTCTCCAGTTTTCCTCCCTCCATAAAATTTAACTTCTACATTCCAATTGGAATTCAGTGGAAGAATTAGAGCCACTGTGTGGAATCAATAGTTAATTCCTGTTATTATTTCCCCATTATTATTTACATGTATGTGTTCTTTTTTTGCAGGAGC